ATGGTAAAGTTGAGCATTCATTATTTTCAATTCTGATAATTTTCTAATAATTAGTTTATGACGAGAGATTAATATCATTTTCATTCGAGGACTTTGATTTATTTAATCTTCTCTTTTTGTGTTTTATCTTTTATTTCTTTCTCTTTAACTCATTACTATTATTCTGATCATTATCTGAAATCTCCTATACATTTGATGGAACTTAACACTTTATGTTTTTAATAATCCTTTTTCTAATCATTAATTTCAGATGTTTTTTCAAATGACTAACTAAATGATAAAATACAATTATTTGATATATTCCCATAACACCAAGTGATGTAATCTAAGCAGCACTGTAAATACTTTAAATTTATTCTAAATTTTATTGATTAATTGTGGTTCCTAATAGACCATATAAATTGCACATAACGAAGAATTCAACTAGTAATTAAAAGTAATATAAAGAATCTCTATTCTTAACTTTAAATATTCTGGCAAGTGAAATCGTTAGGAAGACCAATTGTAAATAAACCAGAAATGAAATTGGTAGAATTTTATAGCTTATGGACAATATTAATCTTCTTAATAAATAAATCAGCTCCTCAATCTAGTATTACACTTATTTAATGCTTAAATTGTTTTACTAAAATTTGCTTTATACAGTTGCCTTTTTTGTCTGAAAATCAATTTTTTTATTTGAAATTTTTATCAATTGTTACATTTTCTTACCTCTATAGAATTTTAACTCCTTCGAGCAGAAGTTGATTTTTCAGAAAGTACAGAATTTATGATATATACTTATCATACCCAATTAATACCCTATCCAAGCAGGAATAAATGAAAGAACTGTAATCATTATTAGTGAAGTAAGCAATATATATAGATGATCCTTATCTTAATTGAATTCTTTAGTTTATGCAAAAAATATCAATATCGTTTGAAACAGTGGAAGATAACTCAGCATCAACAGCTATTTTAACTTCAATAATTCAATATCTTTGACTTTAACTTAAAAACACCGTTAAATAGCTTTTTTAAGAAGCAAATGAGTTCTTAATTTAAAACAAAATTAAATTTTTTCCGAAAATCATTTGCATCCAATAAAAATCATTCAAAAAATGAAGGTTAGGGAAATAATCACTACCAAACCATGCTACTGAACCCACCAGACAAGTGAGGTATATCCAACAGCTTTCAAATTCAAAGGAATAATGTCTTAATCTAAGCCATAATTGAATACACTTGGCAAAAAATTAAATGTAGAAATACTATGAAGATTTCTAGTAAATTTTAGCTGGTTTAAAGGAATCTGATTTTCAATTATATAAAAATTAGAAACCAACTAAATTGCACTTAGCATCTCGAATGTGAGCTTTCCAACTGAAATTCTATTAAAAGTTAAAAGGAGGAAAAAATTACTCAAAGCTAGAAATAATCAAATTCAGTAAAAGACAAATTATCATTGCAGTTTCTAATAATGAGTATCCTTCACTTTGATCAATAAAGCTGTCCACTATTAAATTAGAAAGTTATTAAAATACCTTTTAGAACAGAAATAATTAACTAATAATCCAAATTTTATTGCGATTTTTCAGAATTTATCGTTTATCTATTCAAATCTACAATATGAAAATACGTCACATTGAAATTTTAATCTAAGCTTTCTGATAAAATTCTATAATTAGTATCTCTATTACCATCAAAATATTAATCTCTCTCTGTCTATAGATAACCTTGACCTAATAATAATTGAAAAATTCCATTCCTTAGATAATCTATATCTGCTTTGCAATCTTGATTTAAAGACTAATATTATTCTTATTTTATTTCTTAATTTATCCTCAAAATACTTTAACCCTTGTAAAATTCTAAATATTAAGTAATTGTCCAATATGTATTAATATCATTACTTAAGTCAATTGAAACATTATTTGAGCTACTTTGATTATTATTTTTAATTTGAAATTTTTAGCATTTTTTTTGCTTTATTTTATCCTGTAGAATCTCTCCAATAACTTTAACAATCAACGAGAAAATAGATATTTATGAATTTGATTTTCTATTTTCAACAATTACCTGCAAATTATATACTCCTACATCTTCAATTAATGGGCTTAATACAATTTAGCGATTGTTAATCTCAATAAATTTTGGCTTATTCTTAACTACCATAGTGGACCCTGCTTCTATTATAATCCCCAACCTAGCTAGTTCAAATACTGTTGTAATTTTAGATTTAACTTCTAATGAATAAGGTGGATATTCCAGAGCTGCCATTTCGTGTAAATTTAGATAAGGAAAACTGTTGCTAATGTTTTTACTGCCATTAAAAGAAGTGGCTTCAATTTTTGTTCAATTTTCTTCCTTATATACAAATAAACTCCAAAAAGCAGGATAATCAGATTCAGAACCATCCTTGAGGTCTACATTTATTTCAAATGAGAACTGCCTATACAATTCGAGAGGATCATTATCTGGGAAAAATGTGAAGTTTGATTCAATCGAAATCAAATAAGTGTTTGTTATATTATTGAATGATATGAAACTACGTAAATTTACTGGTTTTCCTTCAAATGCTGGTCTGCATAATCCCCAGAATTTATCACTCAAGAAATCTATTACCATCGAGCCACTTCCTAAATAGTAATCATATTTTAAGTTGTTCTAGTTGAATATAGTAGAATTGCATGATATGTACAAAATTAGATGAAGTTAATAAAGCATATCTTTCTTTTAACTATCATAATAGAAATAGAATTTTCGTTCGTATTTTCCTCTAGATGTGAGATTTTGTGAAAAAATAGTCATTTACATATTTTCTTTGTCAAATTTAATCGGATCATGAAAGGGTAATGTTGGAGAACTTGTATTTT